CCTGAACATGCGTTGAGACGAAGGCTCCTATTTCTGAATCGGGACCTGGCTAAAGATACCTTGAAAGTTGTGAGTGTATTGAAATTACTCGATGGTGGAGTCACAGCGCTTATACGCGGCACGATAACAACAGATCTAGAACAGGGGAGTCGCATATATTATAATATTGTTACTAGCGGTAGTCATAATCTCGGAAGGCCTTCCAAATTATGGGACATAGAATCACATCCGATGGTCATGTGGAGGGCACGCGAGCACCAGAGTTGTGGCACGAAAGTGCAGAGGTCAGACTAGTTGTCATACTAGAAAATCAGGGAATCAGGTAAGCCTGCTTGTCGTAGCACCCTCTCGTTCATTGGTGAGTTCGAAGAATTCCAAGACCATTTAGTGTAAGTGCACTCAAAGTTTGGACAAGCTCTCATTGGTCGATAAGAGGCTTGAAAGACCTTCCCGCAGAAGATCAGTCATGGGGCTGCTCTTCCTGGACCCCCGTTCAACAAAAACATGTGTGTAACCCCCGACAGCTGCGGGTGCATCTTTTCCCTCCTCAAACACCGCGACCTCATACGTCACAGAACTTGAACCGAGCTTCACTACCCGAAGGCCGAGATCCAGGACCTGAGGAAATGACAGGGGGGAGAAAAACTATTACTGGAATTGTGAACACCTGATCAGGGCGTAGAGCCGTTTGACACTAGTACTTACCTGGCAATGGGACGAGACTACCAGTCCAATTTGGGCAGAATCAGGGGTGAGTCCGCATCGTTGGATGAGAAAAGTGTTGACTACAGAATCAAAGAGGTGGTAGTAGACGGAATTGTTGACGTGTGAGTACTGGTCGTTATCAATCCTTGACATGAGTTAAGTTTCATGTATACGTGTAATCATTAAGGAGAGTGGACTGTACCAGCGAGTTCGGTAGGAGAGGAAAAAAAGGTAGTCGGAACGTGTGTGTGCACGGTGTGAGCTCATGCCAGTGGTGCGTGCGAGCAATCCGACGTAGTACCCAATACCTATTGGAAATGTGGACGTGGGTTGACTGGACTGAGTATGTAATACAAACGACCACGTGACGATCAATTAAGTGCGACGCGTTGTTTTAATTACACTTCTTCAACCGCGATCATTCAACCATCTTCAACTAATCCATACCCTAACCACCTACCACCATGGAACGCCTGTATGTACCATGTCTAAGATTATGAATAATACCTGAGCAACTTTCTAGTCGCAAACAGATGGCATTTGACCCTAGCTTATACCCAGAGTTCAAGAAACCAACTGATGCAAAGACTTCAGAACTGCCAAGCGTAATCGTACGTCCTCATGTTTAACTTTATCTCTTCACTCAACACAATATCGTGTAGTCTATTTCAAGTTCTTCTACATCTTCTGCAACCTCAACGGTGGCACCGACAGCTCGACACAGAGGCCGAACAACAATCGTAATATCTTCTGACGAAGAAAACGAGGACTTGTACGTATTCGCTTTTCTCAGCGTGGCGTGCGACTCACAATTTTGGGTGATGCTGTTAAATAGACCTAGTACCCAGTCGCGATCCTCTGCTCAACTCCCACAAGCTGCTCGTAACAATTTCGTCATGGATACCTTGAAACAGGCCCTTCCCGTGCTTCCTCTCGAGCGCAAACAGGTACCAGCACCTGTTCACATTCCTTCAAACCGTGATATTCTTCCGGGCCCTTCCAACTTCAATTCGGCGGTGGATGCGTCCCATCAGGCATACGTCTACGAGCCCCGGATGTCCGCTACCGAGACTGAAAAGGCATTGCGCGCTCTTGTAGAAGACAGTATCACCCCTGATGACGAAATTGAGATCGACATGGAGGAAGCCATTGTGGAAGGCTTCCAAGATGGTATTACACTTCTCCCGCATCAGGTCCTTGGTCGTGCTTGGATGCGTGATAAAGAAACAGGTAAGAAGAGAGGTGGAATACTTGCAGACGATATGGGGTAAGACTGTCAGCACTATTGCTTCTAGCGTGTAGTCAAGCATTTTTTGTGCAGTCTCGGAAAGACTATTCAGACACTTACGCGAATCGTCGATGGTCGTGCCAAAAAATCTGATAAAGCTGACGGTTGGGCTGCCACGACCTTGTAGGTCAATTGTTTTTGATATTTTGTTTGTTAAGTCCATGATTTCTAGGGTCGTTTGTCCAGTTGCGCTCGTCTCTCAATGGGCCTCCGAGATCGCGAAGATGGCTGTAGGATTACGTGTGATTGAACACCATGGACAAAGCCGTACCACGGGTGGGTGCTTTCCACTCTCAACGCTATTCAACTTAATGCAGCACAGACCCTCTGAAACTCATGTCTGCACACGTCGTGGTCACTTCGTATTCCATTGTAGCCTCTGAATACGCGACCTTTGCACCTCCCGCAAAGGACGAATCCAAGACCAAGTCGAAATCTAAGAAGGCAGCATCCCAATCAGACTCGGACTCTGATTCTGATGAGATCGTTACGAGGAAGAAGCCTGGAAGGGCAAAGGGCAAGGACGCATTGTTCCGCGTGAAATGGTTTAGAATTGTCCTTGGTGCGTCGCCACCCGAGTTGGCTGAATAATCATATGACGTGTATATAAAGATGAAGCACACAATATCAAGAACAGGAATACGAAAGCGGCTATTGCATGCTGCGAACTAGATGGGAAGTTTCGCTGGTGTCTTACAGGCACACCCATGTGCGTTTAAAGTTCGCGTTATGTGAAGGCAGTCCTACAAATCTCTTTTCAGGCAAAATACAGTGGACGAACTGTTTTCTCTCCTCAAATTTATCCGTGTGCGCCCGCTCAACGACTGGCAAAACTTCAACGAACAGATCGCACAGCCTATTAAGGCTGGGCGACCAGTACGTGCCCTTAAACGACTTCATGTGAGTCCTTTTGTGCATGTGTATTGATTTATTGCCCTACAACTCGACCTCTTGTGCAGGTCGTTCTCCAATCCATTATGCTCCGACGAACCAAGGATTTGGTCCTTAATGGAAAACCTATCATATCCCTTCCGGCACGGCATTTGACTGTTATTCAATGCAAATTTGATTCAGACGAACAAGCATTTTACAACACGCTCTCGAAACGCATGACCAACGAACTTGACAAACTTGTTCAGGCCAACGAAGCATCCAAGAATTATACCCACGTGTTGCTTATGCTCCTGAGACTAAGGCAGGGTAGGTTGGCTCGTGTACTGACGTTGCATCACATGCTAATTCAGGTTCACTAGCTTGCAACCATCCGTCCCTTGTGTACAAGGACTACCGCATCGACTCTGAGGCTGCCGAGCCTCGCCCCACTAAGAGCGATGATGGTGATGAAGATGCCGACGAGCTTGCAGCACTTTTAGGACAGATGGGCGTCTCGAACGGCAAGAAATGCCAGTTGTGTCAGGCAAAGTATGTTACCTTCGCTGACATACAGTAGAAATTCTAACTCGTCTTCTTTGCGCAGCCTCACCTCTTCCGATTCAGATCACTGTGCCGACTGTACCGAAATCGCTGCCAAGGCCCGACGCAAGTCTATGGCCGCACCAACTGCTCGTGATCCTAACTTACCTCCGGATTCGGCGAAGATTCGCAAGCTGTTGGAAATTCTTCGGGACGTGGATGAACGAAGCGAGAGTGCTGAAAAAACGATCATTTTTTCTCAATTCACCAGCATGCTGGATCTGATCGAACCATTTTTGACTGCGGAGGGAATCAAGTTTGCCCGATGTATGTTTTTTGACTTCTCGTCACTTGAGGTTTTTGATTTGCTATGATGGCGCGATGCAGATGATGGAAGCATGACGAAGGATAAGCGTGAGGCATCGCTGGAGAAAATTCGAAACAGCAAGAACACGCGCTGTATCCTGATTTCATTCAAGGCCGGAAGTACTGGTACGTTCCCTCCAACTCACAATGATGGCGAGTTCCTAATCTTTGCGTTCTAGGGTTGAATTTGACCTGCTGCAATAATGTGGTCCTCGTTGACATGTGGTGGAACCCTGCGCTCGAGGTCCGTCCCAGACTCACTTTTTCGAATTCAGGATTAACCGCAGGGACAGGACCAAGCATTCGATCGTGCTCATCGCTTCGGGCAAACACGCGAAGTCAATATCTTCAAGCTCACTGTTCCCGAGACCGTCGAAGAGCGGATCCTTGAGGTAAGTCATGTAACATTTGCAATTAAAGCTGTAATTGAGCGATGGCGCTATATAGCTTCAAGAGAAAAAACGCGAGCTTACGAAAGCGGCGTTGAGTGGAGAGAAGATGAAGAATATGAAACTCGGCATGGATGATTTGTTGGCGTTGTTCAGGCCTGGGGCGCACCATGATGACGACGATGAAGAATGATTGAATGTCCGTACGTGCTAGACACGTTGAGGTCTTGGTTTCGATCGTATGCGTCTATGCTGTTCTCGCTGTTGTTTTGATCTACGTATCATTTCGTGCTAGTGTGCAATGCTGTTCTACATAAATGCTGTTGAGCGTTGGCGCTGAGCAGTGATGTTCGATGAAATATTGATTTTCCTTTTCTGGTTGTCGGTGACGCGTTGCTCGTGCCGAGCCAATTGCAAGACTCAGAGTAGCTTGGGTCTCGAACTACTGGAGTCGATGTTCTGTTTGTGATCATATATATATATTATTCAATTGTCTGGGTCTAACATATTGCAGCCTTCCTCTTGCACTCGTTCACGTAGGAGTAGGTATGTTAGGTCACTCAGCTGGCGCAACGTTGTTGGTCAGTGGCCACGTGCTGGTTGTCAGCGGAGCTTGCAGCTGTGCAGAGCCACTGACAGTGGTTTGATGTTATCATAGACGTTTCATGATAGAGTTGAATCTTTAAATCCTAGAGCCTAGATGAACACGATCGATACCAGCTCTCGAGGATCCACATCTGCAGACGTTTGGGATCAGCCCAGTGCAAGTAATGATCTTTGATACTGGACCACGAGACCTGACGGTACCTCTTTAGGATTGCTCTGGCCTAGGCGCTGCAACTAAATCACAGCGGAAGGCCCAACGAATCGTTCCAGATGACTGGGATAACGACGAAGATGAGGAAGAAGATAACGCCAAAGTTTGGGAAGACGCGTGAGTCCACTGTTCTCCTTCAGCTGTCAGCCCCAGCGTTAATTCCTCTGCACATTGCAGAAACAACAAAGCACCCATGCCAGAACTAATCATATCTCCCTCAAGCACCGGGACATGCGTCGTCCCCCCTCCCCCAGCTGCCTTCCAACCGACGATGCGCATCCTGAAACGGCCCTCTCCCTCGCAATCAGCCTCGAATTTCACTACCTCGCTCTCTTCGCAGACGCGCAACACTCTTGCTGAGCGTGAGGCTCAGTATCAAGAAGCTCGTAATCGAATATTCGGAACAACGGGCGAGCGTGGCAGTGATGATTTGGAAAGCCGACGCGGGGTGCCGGTGAGGAACGGTAGTGGTAAGGGAGCAGATGCTGGATCTACGGCGTCTGCGGTGCTGCGTGCTCCTACAGGTCCGTCAGATACAGAAAAAGGGGTGGGTCGGACCAATGATTTCCCTCCAAAGGGATTTCGTGACAGGAGGAATGGGAAGAACCAGAACATCACATCTTCGAGTATGTTACCACGGACTTCGAGTTGATTTTTCTGGTGTTCAGCTAGGTTTTTACTGTTAATTGATCGTTGTATTTTTGTCTTGTACACGTTCAGCCCTAACTTAATGCAACGCGCTTTTGAGTCGGAGAGCTCTTTCACGCCAACTCGCCGCACGTCAACTACTGTATGTACAAGTTGAAGCTCTCGGCCCGACTTCTCATGAGCCTCAGGTGCGAACAAGACAGAGCAGCGAGTTTCGATATCTTTCAAACTCTGATGGCTTGACCAACTACACATCAAATCGGAAACAGTTACATCACGACTCAGAGGCAGCAGGCTGAGCAGCGGAGACAGTGACGCGAGTGCAACATGAAGTATACCAGAGTACGAGACGTGCCAATAACATAGTCTTCTCGAGCAGGTCGTTGCGTCGCCGTCTGGACCTGTAGTTGGGTGGTTGAGCGTGGTTGCGCCGCAAGTTGAACTATTACTGGGGACAACTGGCTAATCTGAGCATTAGTCTTCACAGAGGGGGGCGCTACGTAGACCCTCTGAAGATTCGGTTATGCATATAGCAGAACGAGGGACACCTAATACACTGCTTACCTGTTTTTTTTTTCTTCCAGCACGATTGTTACAAGCTACGGGCCAGTGTATTACGCAAAAAGACTACGCTTTGGGTGTTATTGCAGCGCAATGGACTCGCTTGCTGTCGGGCAATGACAAGAGGGAATGAGACCATTCCGAAGGTGGCGAGACGAGGAAGGGTTGGGACAGTGGCATTGACATTGGCGAGAAGGACTAGATGTTACCGAAGGAAGATAAGGCTTCGAATGTCTATCATCAATATTGGTACTCTTTGAAAGGGTACCAGCTGAAAAAGTAGCCATAACCATCGCTTCCCAAGTGCGCGAAGGGTTTGTGGCGTCGACCTTTATAGTTTGTGAGCAGAAGAAGGAAGGTATTGAATTGCAGGAGTAAGTACTGAGTCCTGACTTCAAGGCAAGACGGCGGTGGCAAGTTTCCTGCTATATAGCTTGTCACCTTGAAAATATTACCTTAGCCTTCCCAGCCAGACCTTATGAAAATAGTCGTTCCTTCCAGGATTTTGTGCGATACAAAACATCGGTTCTAAGCTCGATTGAAATACGACAATTGTGTACATGGCGCTGAGTAACCTCCATGGTCAATAGACTTGACATGTGGAAGCATACCACGCACATCGAATCTTCTCAGCCGCGCTTGAAGTCGATTTTCTCGCGTTGTCGGTACGGTGTAATGGCTAGATGGCGCAATCAGTAGGGATGTCCACTGTCATCATACTCAAAATAAATGGTCGACGTGATTTGTTGCACCGTCAAAACAGAGGAAGACGGTAGAGTTAAAATGTTCCCAAGAGTGAGTAATGAGTGAGATAAGCGGAGAGATGCCAACTACGATCAGCTCTGAGATCTGAGAGGCGGGGGGCGTGTATATTTCTGACATAAGCAAAGTTTTTATACCATCCCTTTCCGAGGTTGTTATAAGTTACCCCGTTCCTCACCGTGCTCGTTCTGTAGTTTGAACAGGACAAGAAAAATGCCTTCACCAATGGCGTTGAATCCGCCATCACGTTCTCCCTCCATCTTCAAAAAGAAAAAATCGCTTAGCCAGTTGTCGTCAATGGCGACCGCAGCGTCCTACCTTTCTGCTGTTCACCAAGCAGATACGCGCGCTCGCAGTCATGACAATTCTTCGGTTTCATCAACCCCTGCACTTTCACTATCATCCTCTGTCACAGCTTCATCAGAAGACACCATTCTCAACGAGGACGATGAGAATAATTGTCTCGCGTACCCCTTTACGCCCCCAACATCTGAACAGGTCTTCACCACCGTTCACACGGAGTTTGGTCATTGTGCAAACGAAGCGTATCGTTGCATCTCTAAGCATGACTACTCCAAACCTGTGCAAGAGCACAACATTGAAGAGCCTCCATATTATATCCTCCTCACCACCTATATTAGTTACCTTATTCTCCTCTGTTTTGGTCATATGCGTGACTTCTTCGGAAAGCGTTTTACCAAGTCTTATTTTACCCACCTTATGCCCCATGATGTGCGTTGCAATTTTCTTTCCCCCTCAACCTTGCTCCCCATCATCTAATTCATTTTGTACCCAGGGTTACGCGCCATTGAACTCGGATTTTGATTCGTTTTACACCCGTCGGCTTAAGCGTCGCATGGATGACTGCTTCTCCCAGCCTGTCACTGGTGTTGCGGGACGCACTATTGTTATCCTCGACCGGTATTCCACGGATAACAATCACACTCAAATCTTCACCGGTGGCAAGACCCGTGCGCTGAACATTTCTTCGTATAACTATCTCGGTTTTGCCCAGGCCCGTGGCGGCTGTGCAGACGCAGTTGAGGAAAGCATCCGTCGATATGGCGTTACCACTTGCGGCACGCGTCTTGAGAGCGGGAGCAGCGAGCTCCATACATCTGCCGAAGCCCTCGTTGCACGTTTTGTTGGTATGGAAGATGCATTGATCAGCTCGATGGGTTTCGCCACCAACTCTACTTTCATCCCGGCACTCGTGGGAAAGGGATCCCTTGTCATCTCCGACGAACTGAACCATGCCAGTATCCGCGTCGGTGTACGCCATAGTGATGCGCAGGTCCGGATGTTCAAACACAATGATATGTCAAGCCTCGAGTCCTTGTTGCGCGAAGTGATCAGTCAGGGTCAGCCCAAGACACATCGTCCGTGGAAGAAGATTTTAGTCATCGTCGAAGGTTTGTATTCTATGGAAGGCACTCTCGTAAACCTGCCCAGAATTGTCGAACTGAAGCAGAAGTACAAGGTGTGTACCGCAGTTAGTGTGTTGTGTTATAATGTTGATATGTTATCCAAGTTCTTCCTTTTTGTTGATGAGGCACATTCAATCGGTGCGCTGGGTCCCCATGGACGCGGTGTCACAGATTACTTTAACATCCCTCCTCGTTCGATCGATGTCTTGATGGGCACTTTCACCAAGTCCTTTGGTGCTGCTGGTGGATACATCGCAGGACCTAAAATCCTTATTGATGCTCTCCGGTTGCATGGTCACTCCGGACTGTATGCGGAAGCTATGACGCCCCCCGTTCTCACCCAGGTCGTCTCGTCGATGGCTAGCATCATGGGCGTCGTCCCGTCATCACAGTCGACCAAGTCCACACTCACGCTCAGCCCTGCTAGCTCCATCGTCACGCTGAAGGATGGTGCAGAGGAGCTTCCAGGGATGGCACCTTCAAGCATGCTGCCGACGTGGATGAACCTCCATCCGGCTCTTGCAGACGGTTCTGAAGCTCGTATGCGTATCCGCCGTCTTGCCTTCAACTCGCGGTATCTCCATCAGGGCCTCAAGAAACTCGGTTTCATCACCTACGGACATCCATTCAGCCCGATTGTCCCTCTTCTCATCTTCAATCCGGGAAAGATGAGCATGTTCTCGCGCATGATGCGTTCGCGGAGCACGCCGATCGTTGTCGTTGTCGTGGCGTATCCTGCCACTCCGCTTGTTACCAGTAGGGTACGGTTCTGTGTTAGCGCATCGCATACAAAGGAGGATATCGATATGGTGCTACGAGCATGCGATGAAGTGGGCGGCATCCTGGACCTGAAGCATGGAGTAGGCGAGCGGTGGGGGATCGACGAGGTTTGCAAGCGCGCAGTGGAGCTTGTACACTCTGTGTGAATGCCTGCACAACTGTTTCCCTTGCTGTTGCCCTCTTCATGTAAGTTATTGACGGCGACTTTGTTCCACGACGAAGCAATACAAGGTGATCACTATACAGGTTAGATGATGAAAGCTACGAGAAAAATGACATACATACATTAACGAGGATTCTGGATATTGGATATTGGCTTTCTTTCAGTACATACACTACCACACGACGACGTCGTCCTTACTTGCGTCTTAGGCTGCTTCTGTTCAAAACATTTTATCTACCTTTTTCTTGCAGATATATTATTGGTCTCGCATTTCATTTGCTGATGATGGACGGAATGAGAAGAGGGTGGTGCGCGTGGTGCTAGCGATGTATAAAGAGACGACTAACTTGGGGACAGCTGATTGACCAATAGCGCTCGTTGCCTTTGAAGATCCGGGCCGCAGCACAGTCACTGATATAAGTGGGACGCTTGGCGTGCACACTTCATCTTATCGGTCCAGTGACCCGCCTAGATCGTAGCATATACGGTATCTCTTCACCAGCAACGACAATGCCAGCTCCAACAAGCTTCAACAACTACATCGACACGCACGCAGATGCGTTTATCAAGCGTCTAGGCGATGCCGTTGCTATTCAAAGGTAGATTCTGTACTCGCGTGCACAACTTCCCGACTTAATTCAAGACTCCCATGTGTACAGTATCAGCAGCGATGCTCTTCGACGCCAGGACGTCATTGTGATGGGAAATTGGCTGAACGGCCAGTTGAATGAGCTTGGCGTCGAGACTAAGCTCGTAGATCTTGGCACACATGAGATGCAGGGGCAGACGCTGCAGCTCCCTCCGGCCATTATCGGACGCCTGGGGAGCGACCCTGCGAAGAAGACAGTGTTGATATATGGACACTACGACGTGCAGCCTGTGAGTCCTTTGTAGCGGTGTGTGTTGTGTTAAAGAGCACAGTACTGAACTGCAGAAACCAGGCACTGAAGACGGACGGCTGGAAGACAGATCCGTTCACGCTTGTGGTGGACGAAGATTCAGGTCGCTTGATCGGTCGTGGCTCGACAGATGATAAGGGCCCGATTTTGGGCTGGTTGAATGTCCTAGAAGCACATAAGAACCTAGGGATTGCGATGCCTGTGAATGTACGATTTTGTTTTGAGGGTATGGAGGAGAACGGGAGTGAGGGGTTGGATGAATGCATTCAGGAGGAGGTGAAGAAGGGTAAGGACGGGTGGTTTGACGGGGTTGATTGCGTGTGCATCGTGCGTGATCGTTGCCTGCCAGTGTGGAGATGTGTACTGATGCCCGAAACAGAGTGACAATTACTGGCTGAACACCCGAACCCCT